GTGGGTCAAGACATGAAGACAATGCAATCTGAAACTAAATTTGACTTAATTGGATACCTAATTGATTTTTTATGAATTAATTAAAATTTGGACCGAATTAGTAGGCATGTCTAGCCAACCACACCACACGCGTCATCAATAGCTGCGCCATCACGACCACGTAATGGCTGCGTTCAAAAACCATTGCGCGCCTACTGAACGTGATGTTCAGTAGGCGCGCAATGGTTTTTAGTCATGTAACTCTATTGTAAATAAAACATGTAAAGTACTGAAAAAAAAATTCATAAAAAACGTTTTAATAACAAGCTTTTATGTAGTGATGCACTAAAAAGTAGAAAATAAATTATAGACTACTATTTAAATAACTATAAAGAAAAGCGTGGGTGTCTTCCATAACATTAGTAAAGGTATCCAATAGATACTAAAGTGACCCACGCTTTTCTTTATAGTTATTTAAATAGTAGTCTATAATTTATTTTCTACTTTTTAGTGCATCATTACATAAAAGCTTGTTATTAAAACGTTTTTTATGAATTTTTTATTTTTTTCTTTACCTTATGCAAAATAGTAAAAACAGTGGCAATTATAAAATAGCTCTATGCGGTTATATAAACAAACCTTACTCTCATGCTTATAATAAGACACTGCGGTGTACTAAAAAGCACAGCATGGTGCGATGTTTACTTTTATGGTTCCAAAATCTATAGCGATGACAGAAGGAAGGAAGGAAGGAAGGAAGGACTGACACACTACTTGCCCGCTCATATTATAGATATATTATAGATTATAGATAATATTGCGCACTATTATGCACTTTCTTATTTGGCGTTCACTTGGTGTGCAATTCTCTTGTCTACGAGATCTTATTCTATTTTTAAAACTTTAAGTATTTAAAATTGTGTAAAAATCATGTCTATAGCCCGAATTCCCATCCCCTGTTATTTTATATAAGAATATTCGAGAAAGTTTAAGGGAGATCACTCCCGGTTTATTATGAATTATGACTTTAAAAAAAAATATCGCAAATTTTAATATCATTTTATACTAAAATTGTGCGACACCTATGGACTATTTTATCATCAAAGAACCTAGTTATATACTGAACCGCTAGAGGTTGACTTTAAAAAACGCTGGTCACGTGAAGTCTTCATTGGCATCTCGGCGATATATTACCGTTGTGAAGTGGGAAATCTCGGTTAGAACCAGGTTTTGTTATCTGAGCTTTCTCTGTACTTTACTATGTCTTTAGTCATTGTAATTTTTACTGTCTTGTTTTAAAATCAGCTTCCTCAAAATGTAGCTTTTAAAAGTTTATTTTCAATGTTTTAATTTTGCTTGTTATTTTATATACCTCCTCCCCCAACACCACTGAGATAAATTTCTGGGGGAGAGGGGGACGACGGTGGACTTTTCAGGGCCCCACCCGTCTTCGAAGAGGTGCCTGAAAGAAACTCTGCATGAGGCAAAAAATATAGCAAAAATTCAGAGGACTGACTACGCTACTTTCTACATTACTTAACATTTTCATTATTATATTTAAGGAATATTATTATTTGTTGACATAGAGCTGACCACACTATCTTTTTATATGCCGAGGCAGAGGCGTAGCGATGGGGGGGGGAGGAGGCACATATTTCCACGGGCGCCGACCTTAGGGGGCGCCAAATTGGGTTGGAAAAAGTAATCGAAAGTTTGAGGGGGGTGCAAATCGAAAGTTTGTCCCCGGGCGCCGGCAAGGGTCACTACGCCTCTGTGCCAAGGTCACAGAAACAAGTGAACGCTATTTCACTTGCCCTGTAGAGCTGGTAATTAGGTCACCAACCAGTTCTATGGCTCATGCAGGTTTTATTGAGCCGTAGAACTAGTTGGTGACCTACTTACCAGCCCTATAGACCGTCAGGTTTGAAAGGGGAACTTTTACTTTTATTATTTGTGTGTGAAGATATATATATATATATATATATATATATATATATATATATATATATATATATATATATATATATATATATATATATATATATATATATATATATGTCTGCCTAGGCTCTATAATTATGTTAATGCGTCTTCTTGGATTTTTTCAGCTACGAAAATAAATCTGGCAGGGGACACGGGTATGGCAATTTCGATTTTTTAACCAATATCTTTAAGAAAAACTAAATATTTTGAACAGCAGTAAAACTCAATATAATTTAGTCTGTTAATTGGGTTTTTTTTTAAATAGAGGGCTTATAAAATGAACAATAGTACTACTTTACTTCAATCATATAGCAAAATGCAATTAAATGAGTGAAACAACCATCCTTATCTTTTGTCATATTCAGCTGAAGTCAAATTTAGTGCATTTAAATTTATGAACAAATTATGAACAAGTATAGACTACAATGTGTAGGCTAGCTTAAAGAAAAATATAGACTACGTTAAATTTTGATTTTTTTAAAGAAGTGTCCAGTTTGTTATCACTATTTTTGAACCCGTAACCGATATATATATATATATATATATATATATATATATATATATATATATATATATATATTAATATAATAATATTAATAGCCTATGCCTACCGGTGCATAATTTGATTCTATTATAAGTAAAATTATTATAATTTTTTTCATTATCGTTACTCTTGATAATTTTTAATTTTGAAGCAAGGCCAAGAAAAACATTTTTTTATTTTTTTATTATTATTATTGTTAAATCATGTTGACAATTATTTAGTTCGAAAAATGTATATCTCTTTCTGGCTGACAAGATTTCTAATTTTAAATGAGAGATACCAAGACTTACAAGCGAAGTTATCAATATATTTTAATAATCAATAGCCATTCATAATTAAAATAATATAAATGTTGAACTAATTTCATTTCAATTATTTTGTATTTTAACTTTACTTTCCAATTGTAAGTTTTGATAACAAATATTAATGATATTCGCTCAACGATGTCCTAATTATTCACGGATTTATTTAGTCAAAAGTTTAATTATTTAGTATCAAATATATTATACATATGTTGAGGAACTGCATAATAATTAAACAATATCTTAGCTTGGATATTAGCTAGGGTGAAATAAGTTGAGAATCACTGATCTATATTGATAAAACTAATCGAGTGAGATAGCGTTAGAGTCAATATAAAGTATAATAGATTAAAGGGTGGATTACATGGCGCTGAAACTAAACATCGTACTCAATCTGTATTGCAAAGCTTAAATCGCAAGCAGCAATTGTAAGAATTTATTTTGACAATTACGATTCAAATGTTGTGCGGTCGATTGTTTTTTCTTGTTGTTTTTTCTAATCGTTTTATTCAAGCTTGATGTTGGTAAATATAAAGGTTTGAATCGTTAAGAAAACCTAAATGCTACTACTTTTATATTAAACTAATTTAGAAATAAAATATACAAAATACATTACATATTACTTGTGTGAGATTGATTGAGTAGCAGTATGTATCTATATTTGTATATATATATATATATATATATATATATATATATATATATATATATATATATATATATATATATGTGATTAAGATGTGTTTATGTTGTGTTGTGTTTGTTTTTCGTTTTTTTCTTTTTTTTTGCGTTCGTTTGTGTTGTGTTTAGTTTTGTTCTGTTCCCAAGTTGGTACATTTAAAAAAGATTTACCGTGGCGGAGCACGGGATGCACCTAGTATATATATATATATATATATATATATATATATATATATATATATATATATATATATATATATATATATATATATATATATATATATATATATATATATATATATATATATATATATATATAGTGACACGTAAAAAAATACCAGTAAAAATATATCACGGCAAAATATCTAGATATAAACGCATAGTTTAGTCTAACAGTTATAAACATTTAGTTTTACCTAATTGATTTCTTTAATGTAATTAGTAGCATAAGCACTACACTTATGTCAGTACAATCATCTTCTCATTTCTAAATATTAACAACTATGTTATTGAAAATGTAAACAAGAATGTATTTCTCTCCTAGGGATGACCAGCAATGGCTCAGGCCGGAGGTGATGTTTTTTAAGCTTTATATAACACATTTTATTATCATACAATTTTACTGTAAATCTGTAAACATTTAATAGTCATATACTTCATCAATATTACATAAAATAATAATGTGTATCAAATTAGTAGTATATTAAATTACAAATATTGTTTAATTAAACATCCTAATACTGTATGTGAAACAAAATTTGCTTTCTTTTTTGTTTACGAATAAAAAGTATTTTATAATTACTCTTAAAAACCATTATATCTTACTTTCGTAGGAACAGGAATGCCTCCGACAAGAGGTAAGGCTTTTTATTCATTTTTTACATAAAGAATTTTTATATAAAGAATTGTGTGTTCTGTTTATAATTTAAAATATAATATATAAGAAATTATAATTTTAAAAGTCCAATGTATGTTGACAAGTTAAAACTTAACCAAATCCAAAAATTTGGTTTTTGTAAACAAAATAATCTGCCTGGTAAGAATAAAAACGATTAGCATATTTGGAGCTATTGAACAGTAATTTCTTACATTTTGCACGAAGTTGATCGAACCACACAAAAACAAAAATTCAAGTTATTGGTTGTTGTTTTTTTTTCACTAGAGTCTTCTTCAACTACCAAAGAAGTTGTACTTACTGTGATAAAGTACCTGGTTACATTAGTTCTTACTGCATCGGCGCTACCAATATTTGTTTACAACAAAATATCACTGGTTTTCCTATCTCAGTACTTGCAGAATAATTCTTCCAACATTACTACATCGACTCAATTAAATGAGGTACTTCAAATATTAATTTTGCTGTTTGAATTCTAGTTATGAGGATTGGCTTAGCTAAAAATGTAGTTATGTGCTCTAAATATTATAAGAAATAAATAGATGATTAACTAAAATTGGACTTCAATTGACATAAATGTATTTCAGAACCGAAGGGAAACAGCAGCATTCTTGATTTACATTGTTATTTCCACACCATATTGGGCTTTCACAATACAAGCGTTATGGTCCTTACTTTTTAAAAGAAAGCATTGCATGCCAAAGTTTAGCAAAATAGGATATTTAATAGTAAGTAAAAATTAATTTAAGCAAATAACTATCACGAATTGTATATCTATAAATATTATAGGGAATGTATTTACCCGAAAATCTCGAGTTCAGCTCCAGGGTTTGAGTCCTTTAAACGTCACTTTTTCCAACTAGATCTTTTGCATGTTTGATTTAAGTAAGATTCCGAAGTAGCTTCCCGAATAGACACTTGCCCGAATGCGACAAATGCCCGAATGGACACTTACTTGCACAAATGCGACAAATGACAGAAAGCCACTTTCCTGAAAACCGTTTTCCCGAAAATGTAAATATTAAATAAAAAACTATATATACAAATAGACATTCTTAATCAATTCAAGTTTGATAACCAACACAGTTCTAAGCATAAAAACAAATTTGATTGTCCCAATGCGACACTTGCCCATTCGGGCAGTTGTCGCATTCGGGCAAGCGTCCATTCGGGAAATCGGCCTTCGGGCAAACGGCATTCGGGCAAGCGTCTTTAGGGAATTTTTCGTAGACCCCTTTTTTAGATAATATTATGGATTTGGTAGCTCATTATTCCGTTTTTATATAAATCCTAATCAATTATAGAATATTAAAACAGACCCTAGCTTCGTCGGCGTAGTGTAAATAAAAATGTCATAAGATTAAATTGTCAAAACTGAAGAAAGGCATTCCGTTGTTACGGATATAAAATATATATGCAAGTTATTTGATATTGTGATTGTATTTGTCGAGGTGAGGGCGTTGTCTAGCGGTGTTGTAAATCTAGTTGCGTTTGTATTTTATTTTTAAAAATGTATACATTTTTAACGTTTTTTAGATTTGTCATAATGGAACTATTTTTTACAGTTTGCTTTCATGGGAATGTCTGAGCCTATTGCAATTGTTCTTCTTATGGTTTTGGTATTTCCTTACATGGACACACTCAGTTCATGTGTTTTAATCAGCTCACTACACATATTTGCAAGTATGTATATTGTTTTAGAATTTAAGCTATATTTCTACTAATGTTTGTAAAATGTATCTTCCTTGTTATAGAAAAAATGTAGCATTTCATTTTTGTACCTACAATGTATTTCACTAATTATCATGTAGTTTATTTGTTTTATTCAATCGAGGTCTGTTTGTTTTTCATACTTTCTATCACATATGATTTTTTTAAATTATGTTTTGTAGTGGATCCACTTACACAATACAATTTGGGAAATACTATTTTTAAATAAATTTAATAAATGACCGCGTGCCAATTTTAAGACGAATCTATCAGTTAGTAGTGCCTAAATTTCTCTCTCCAGTTTTGAATTATAACGACAGACTGACGATAGACAGACTGACAACACAGGAAGAAAGTTAAATAGAAGCTTATAAAAATAGAGCGGAGGATTACAAACGAAATATTCATTACCTTTTTTTTTGATAAATTGGAAATGGCTTCAGGTACTACCTTCGGTCACCGGAAATTTTTTGAAATTTAATAGTATCAAGAGAATAAGATCTAGATTCTAATACAAATAAATAGAATCTAATCTACTTATCTGAAACAGTGCTAAAATTATTGGCATTTTTTATGCCGGAAATTAAGTTAAGTACCCATTCCGGTTATTAGAGTTCATACACAATTTCAAAGTACTCACGAAATAAGATCTTATACTTATATATAAAAATTCGTCATCTTAATTAAAACAGTACTCAAGTTAGCGTGTTCCACAAAAAATACAGTAAAATACCACTTTTTGTAAACGAAAATCGTTCAAAAGTTTATAGACATGCGCATACAATCTAATACTTACATGTAAAATTTCGTCCACTTAACTTAACTGGTAACCAAAGTAATGGCTTATGAGAAATCGGAAGTAAAAAAGCACTGCTTTTGGTTGCCCTAAATCCCCCAGTAGTTGATAAATACAAAGGAAATATAATTATGATACTTGAAAATTTCCTCAACATAACTGTAATGGTGTTGAAGTTATCGTGTTCACATGCGTACACACACACACACACACACACAAACACAAACACACACGCCCAGCGAGAGAGAGAGAGAGAGAGAGAGAGAGAGTCATACGGACACAATTACAAAACTACATTTTTCCGATTAAATTTTTTCCAGCTTTGTCAAAATCTCAATTACGATTTTTTTTCTACGATTACAATGCTTTCTCTACACTTGGTATACGAGAACGTAAACATTAAACTCTTTTAAAAATCCACTTCTTGCTACTATTATAGTAATTGTAAAAGCGATTCTAGAAAAAAAGGTTTAAATTTCTTAATATTAACTACTTTGTAAGTGTACAACTATCAGACTTTTAATATTTTTTTCATGGCAGTTGCTTTCAAACCAGAAGAAAGAACTCAAGGTAAGAAAAAAATCAGCATTGAATTTAGTTATTGAATGCG